GAGTGAATAATTTTCCCCATCAGGTTTTTCTGAACTGTTGACAACTTTGCATGTTTCCATAATGTTAGTCTTCCTCTTTGTGCCTGTTGTCTCCCTTTCTTGCACCTGTGCTCAATGGAACCATCTTTCTTCCTCTTTTTGTGCCTGCTTTCCGGGCCTGTGCTCCCCTCTCCTGTCTCCCCAGGGTAACCAGAAATGTAGTAGAGCCTGCGAGATGCAACTGCAGGCCGCCTTTGAAGAGTGAGTGAACAGTTACTAGTCCAGCTGCCAATCTGGAGTCCAACCCATAGGGACTTCAGAAGTGGTGTTTTGTTCTTCCCCGTTTATCACGAAGATGGTATACATGATTAAGGGATGCGGAAATTGGACTCTGTTTAGTGGGCACTACCCTGGCAGTTAGGGGATTTTCATGGGGTCAGGTCTGAGCAGAACAGAGTCTGGTTTTGCTTCCAGTGGTGAGATATTAACGGGGTGCTGTTTGCTTCCTGTCTAGCCCTGGTAGCTTCTTCCAGGTTGATATCACATGCAGCACTTGATTTCTTCAAGATTAATTTTACACGATAGTTTTTGAGGGAGATAATAAGATCAGTAATTTGAATTTCTTTAAACGTTTTCTGTAACAACTGTAGAACTTAGTTGTTACTGTTCCTTTTGAGAAGTCTTAAAGTTTAATAAGTTCCATTATTAACTTGCCTTTACTAAATTCTCTTACTAACAGTTGGGTTTGGGATAGAGTAGTCCCTGGGAAGGAAGGATTCCTTGCTAATCTCTTGTCTTGTGGGTATTTAAATAGTAGCATGTTTTGCTTTTTCTGCTGTGATTTTTTTTCCCCAGTACTCCTACATCCTGCTCCTTTTGCTATGAGTTGGTGGTGTTATTTGTTGTAAACTGTTAATATAATTTGGCCCAGTTCTTTATCGTATGTATTTCATACTTATGATGTGTAGGATGGTTAGTGAAACATGAGAATATTATACAAACTATGTCTTTACAGACCAAATGCTGTAATTCTTTCTTTCCCACTTACATTCCAACAGACTCCAGTGTTCTACAGGGTGTGAAGATCTGCAGTGTCAATGAGAATATCGTCATGGAATAGCTTTCCTTTTAATTGCTAACATACTGCATTAGTTTGGAACTTAACAAGATGCGTTCATTATGCGCATACTGTCAAGTGATCGCCTGTGAGAAGGGTTTTACCTATTTTCCTCATTTACCTATGAGGAAATCGTGGCTCCTCTGTCTAGCTTTCTATTGCAGGATTTCATATAAAATGCTGCTTAAATTTATAAGCGGCATCTTTCAGCCTTGCTAGGAAGGTAGTATATAGCTGAATTCAGATGGCAAAATATGCATAACTTTCAAAGTTATATATTTCAAACTTTCAGAAGTTCTTTGCAACCAGCCACCAAAAGCTGTAGCTGGCTGATAACAAAAATGTTCACTAAATTTGGATGCCTCTAAGAAAATCAGGCTTTGGGCCCTGTGCTAATGTCCATTTATAGTCCTGGATTTGCCCCTAGAACGTTTGTTTGAGGAGTGAGTATTGTAATCTGCAATCTCTTTTGTAAAATCTGTATTAGCTTTTGGCTTTATTTTTCAGGTGAATTCTTCTCTTTAAAAAGCTATCCTGGTATTTTAAATTAAAAAAAGTTTGCTAGGACACAGCCCATCATTTATAGTTTTGTTGGTCTGTGACTTACAAAAAATTTTTTTTTCTGTTCATAGCTCTGTTCTTAAGACATTTTAGCCATGACGAAGAGAGAGGCAGAGGAGCTGATAGAAATAGAAATTGATGGAACTGAGAAACAGGAATGCACTGAAGAAAGGTATGTACTGTCTTTGCTTTTTGGGGTCCTTAGGCTGCAATTCATTCATTTATTTGTTTTCTTTAATTGATTTCAGATTTGTGGCTGCACACACCAAGCTTGGTTCTTCAGATTTATTATTGGGTATTGTGTAATGCTTCAGAGATGGCCATGGTTATGAAATAAGTACAAGCATTTTCTAGCTAGGCAAAGGAAGTAACTTTAAACTGGCAGAAGTAGCTGGCTCAGTATGATCTCCATAATCCTGCAGTTGTTTTTTTCCACAGTCTTTCAGCTTTCTTGCTGGATATGAAGTTCTTAGTTTTGCTTGTGGTCTTTTCAGTTTTTCTGTTTCTTATCTAATTAAATGATGGTTTTCTTGAAGTGGAACTATAGCCACTATGGAAAGCCAGTATCATGCTATCATGTTCTTCAATCATAATTGCTCAAATCCCAAATCATTTTGTTTTATCTCTTGCTCTACAGTCTTAGTAGTTCTCTTCCCCTACTTTCATATCTGTATGAATATATCTACACGTACATGCTGCAAACCTTTCAGCTTCTGTGTATCCTTCTGTAATTGTGAACTTCTCAGTTTCTCCAATCCATTGCTTTATGGTTATACAGGGTCATTTTTTTTTAACAGAGCAGAAATGATGTTCTGTACTTGTTATATTGTTGTTAGAGCCACTCAAACCATAGATACCGAAGTCTGATATCACAGAACAGTGGGGGTTGGAAGGGACCTCTGGAGATCGTCTAGTCCAACCCACCTGCTACAGCAGGTTCACCCAGAGCAGGTCACACAGGACTGCATCCAGGTGGGTTTTGAGTATCTCCAGGGAAGGAGACTCCCCAACCTCCCTGGGCAGCCTGTTCCAGTGCTCTGTCACCCTGAGAGCAAAGAAGTTTTTCCTCATGTTCAGGTGGAAATTCCTGAGGTCCAGTTTGTGTCCTGTCACTGAGCACCACTGAGGAGAGCCTGGCCCCATCCTCTTGACACCCACTCTTTGGATATTTATAAGTGTTGATAAGGTCCCCTCTCAGTCTTCTCTTCTCCAGGCTAAAGAGCCCCAGGTCTCTCAGCCTTTCCTCATAAGAGAGATGCTCCAGTCCCCTCATCATCTTTGCAGCCTTTTTCTGGACTCTCCAGTAGCTCCTTGTCTCTCTTGAACTGGGGGGCCCAGAACTGGACACAGGACTCCAGATGTGGCCTTGCCAGGGCAGAGTAGAGGAGGAGGAGAACCTCCCTCGACCTGCTGGCCACACTCTTCTAAATGCACCCCAGGACACCATTGGCCTTCTTGGCCACAAGGGTACATGGCCAACTTGATGTCCACCAGGACTCCCAGGTCCTTCTCCACAGAGCTGCTCTCCAGCAAGTTGACCTCTGACCTGTGCTGGTGCGTGGGGTTATTCCTCCCCAGATGCAGAACCCCACACTTGCCCTTGTCAAACCTCATTAGGTTCCTCTCTGCCCAGCTCTCCACCCTGTCCAGGTCGGGGGCCATGGACTTGTGGGTGTCCAGTTTGCCTAAATGATCTCTAACCTGTTTCTCCTCAACCAAGGGAAGGTCTTCCTTTCTCCAGACTTCTTCTCTTACCTCCAGGGTCTGGGATTCCTGAGGACCAGCCTCAGCAGTAAAGACTGAGGCAAAGAAAGCATTCAGTAACTCTGCCTTCTCCGTATCCTCCATCACCAGGGCACCCAAATCATTCAGCAGCAGGCCCACATTTTCCCTAGCCTTCCTTTTGCTGCTGATGTGCTTGAAGAAACCCTTCTTGTTGTCCTTGACATCCCTTGCCAGCTGAAATTCCAAGTGTGCCTTAGCCTTCCTTGTTGCATCCCTGCATGCAAAGGTCTCCTGTCCTTTGACTTCATTACCTCAACCTGTTTGGTTTTTTTCCTTAATGCTTCCCTCCTCTAACTTTTACAACTGTCTTTGAAAGCACCGAGAGGCAGTTACATGTGTTGGATACAAATAGCTGAGGCTGGTAGGTGACCTGCTCGTTAAGAACCTGTTTTGAGAACTGATTCAAACCCACTAATTAATTTCTTATTCTGAGCTCCTTGTATATTTTTTCTGCTTACAAACTGACTACGTCTATGTAGTTTCTGATTTCCTTCTGTGTAAATGTAGAGAGACCAACTGTCTAAGGTCATTGTTAAGGCACTAGTCCCGTAACAGTGTTGTTTCTGAATGCCTACGCCAATACTGTCATCATTTTACTGCAGGACAACCATGACAGTTCCTTCTGGTTGTCTCTTGTGTGCATTACCTTTGTGGTGAGAAGACGGTGACAATTGCTCTGAATGACAGTGGATGTTTTTTCCTTTGTTTTCCCTTATCTGTTAAGTTTCTGTGGTTTTGACTTGAATATCTTTTAAATACAGGCTAGGCAAGGCAAATAGAATTAGTTTACTCTACATGCAAGTTAATTACAATATGTTGATCATGACTTAATCTCGGGAAAACGGTGATCTGAAAATAGTCTTGATATATAAAACTTAACTTTTTAGTGGCGAGAGGGTAAAAGAAAAGTTACACAACTGTAAAATCAAAGGGACCAAATTTAGTAATTCACTCTCTACTCAAGCTAAGAGTTTTTTGCATGGTATTAAGATTTCAGAGTCAGTAGTACTTAAGCTTTCCTGTACCTATTGTATTAACAAGCAAGTAATGATTTGTTGTATTTATTTGGTATTTAAGCATCGTTGAGCAAACCTACACCACAGCAGAATTTGTAAGTCAAGCTATTGACATCAATGAACCAATTGGCAATCTTAAGAAGTTGCTGGAACCCAGACTGCAGTGTTCCTTGGATGCACATGAAATTTGCTTGCAAGATATCCAGGTAAATTGAAAGGCTATGAAAGGCGTAACCTGTTAATGGAGAAGCATTTTGCATACTTTGTCCCTTTCTTCCATTGTTTGTGGAATTCATGCTTCATTTAGTATGTTAATTACAATTAAGAGTTTAATTTTACATCACGTTCATTATCATCGAAACACTTAATATGTACACAAGAATTCAGTGTGAATAAAAACAACGTACTTTTAGGGTTCCTGAGGTGAGGGTAAGAAAGCAAAAAATGTCCACCTTGCAAGTGAAAGAAGAATGAGGGCAATGACAATACTCTTGAGGTAGCCTACATCATTTATTGCTGCCTGAACTTCCGTGAATCAAATCTTGGTTTGAATCTGAATAAAATAGGAAGGTTTTATACTGTTCAGGTGCATAGATAGCACTCAAGACATCCCTCCCCCACTATTTCTGCAGGCATCACCACATTTGGTGTAACTGTTTTACATTGTGTTTAGCTGCATGTTTTATTTGTATTTCTAATCGAACATCCGTGGCTTCTCCAGAAACAACAGGGAGAATACTGCATTAAAGACAATAATTTTTGTGAAGGTGTTAAAAACCGAGAAAAGGAACTGTAGGTATTTTTCACAAAGCGAAGATACTTCCAGGTATTGCATTGCTTTTTTTTTTTTTTTTAGGTTAAAAAATGTCTCTGTAGGTGAAACTACCTTAAACAGAACAGAGTGTCAAGTTTCAAATTCCGATCAAATTCTTTGTTGTGTATAATGTCTGTATAGTACTAAAAATATTTGCATGATTCTTCAGAAAATTTGCTGCAGACATTAAGTGTTTCTAAAGTTTAAAGGAGAGTAAGTTTCTTAACTGTGGAACTAATACATATTTTTAATTTTTTTTGCTTTTATCAAGCTGGACCCAGATCGAAGCCTTTTTGATCAAGGAGTAAAAACAGATGGAACAGTGCAACTCAGTGTGCAAGTAATATCTAGGCAAGGTAAGCAGTTATATTTGTCTGTTGTACAGATGAATTAGTATTGTAGAAGTGATTGTTAACAAACTAATCCCCTACTATTTTTAGCTAGAAATTGAGAAAATCAGTGAATGGTCACATAGCTTCAGAATGTGTCTTTCTTTGCATACTGTGGTTATAAGTAGTAGTAATTAAAATAAATTATATGGACTGATGCTATTTGAAATCGGTTTTATAGTAAGTTCATATCAATTTCTAAATGGAGAAAAAAAAAAAAAACACACAAAACTGCGCCGCCCCGCTGCCCCACCCCAAAACAAAACCCAAACAAACCTGGGTCAAATAGTGACAGTTACAGTATGAGGTGTTCATTAAGGGTGAGTAGTTACTCGTACCAGACCGAGTATCTAAGCAGGCAAAAGGTTTTTGTCTAGGTAGGTGGCAATTTCATCTTTGTGCGGTGAGTGAGCTTTGTGCTTCGTGAGCGATTAGATGATGACAGTATATGTAGCCAACTGAAAACTGGTAGGAAGAGCTGGGATCACTATCTGTTGTCTGTTTTCTTTGGATGAGAAGTCAGAGTAAACCATTGTGACAGAGGAGCGTTAACCAGGTGGGTAGGGATTTGTTGATGCATAGTTTTTGTTTGTATTTTCTGCTATGACAGGATTTCCCCTTGTCACATCCTCAGGAATTGGTAGGTTCATTGTTTTGCTTTTTGTCCTGTTCTTCTTCTGTGCCCCCTTTATATGTCTGGAGTGGAAGGATTGCCACCACTCACTGAAGGCAACGTTCATGTTGGGCTCTGGGAACAGCTACAGATGTTTGTTGCTGTGTTTTCAAACAAACAGTGACAACAATTTCCTGCTGGAGTAGGGTATCTTTGATCTGTTTTGAGTTATGCCAGTAAAGCAGATTAGCAAAATTTGGGGAGCACAGGTTTTTTTCCTTGTCTAATCTACAGTGAAGCCGCAGGAGAAAGCCTTTCTGGTGTGTATTGACAGGATTAAGTAAGACTGACAATTTGCATTTAATGCTGAGTGTCAGGTGACTAGTGCTAGATTGAATCCTCAGTTCCCTGTATGTAATGGGGATTGAACTCCCTTTCTGGTTTTAAAAATAGTAGAAAACTCTTTTAGGGAGCTAGAATAACTGCTCTTAATTTGTGCCCAGTAACTTGTCGTATGCAGTGCTCAGGCTTCCATTTTCGAAAGGGTGCAGGTGATAAATGTCTTCACTATTAACATTTTCTCCCTGTGGCTTGGATTTTTTCTTTTTAAATGTATAACTGAGGTGCGTAACTGCATAGCACAAGGAGCTGCTGGCCTGGGGTGGGTTTTTGCCTTTTTTTTTTTTTCTTCTCTCCTCCTCTCTCCTTAAAAGAAACACCTGAGTATTAAGTACTGCTGTATAACTTTGGAACGATCCGCAGTGTCAGTTTTTAAACCATGATACTTGACACTTAAGCAAGTTATAAGAAATCTTTCTATTAAAGGCAAGTAAAATATGGCAGGACACAGTATCAGAAGACAAACAGAATGGAAGATATTTGGAGCACTAATGGGGAAGTGCACTTGTTACTCTGACTGCAGTGTCCCTTTGAGCCGGGGGGGGAAAACAGCTTCTTCTTGCCATCTGCATATTTTTCATGTGTGCATGAGGTATTGAAAGATTCTTGGTTTACTTATTCTTATTTTTCCCCAACTTGTATAATATATATAATTCAGCTGGCAGTAATCAATGATGCTAATCCTTGTGATGGATTGCTCTCTCTTATTTCTGAAGAGAAAAGCTGTTACGTCAGTTCAAGTGCTTTATCAAATTTTGATTAGCCATCTGTAAATTCAAAGGAATAAACACCAGCTGAGGTATAGTCCATTGTAGTTCTTTTATAGCGTTTCATACAAAAGTATCTTAATAGACATTACAGCAGGTAAAATATCAGTCTTGTTTGTTCTTTTGACTAGAAAGACCATTCTGTCACTCCACCTTGCCATAGCTCCTTCTGGTTTGAAGAATGGAGGCGAATATGGTTTTCCTGCCATTCTGAGAAGAGCGATTTTGAGTGCAGCCCTGCTCTGTACTGCTCTGAACAAAGCCTCCTGCAAGTCTGTGGAGATCTGAGCAACTGTGTTGCATCGTGTGTCAAAGAATTTGAAAAAAGCTTTAATTTTGAAGACCTTCATAGCAAATATTTTGGTTTTTTTTTTTTCAATCCAGACACAAGTTGTATCTGATCAAGGGTTTCTCCTGCCTGTCTGACTAGAGCTAACATCAGTTTAACGTTTTGCTGTCCTTAAGCTGTTAAGGTTGATGAAGGGTTTTTTTTTTGAGATACGATAGAATGGATTCTGACCCTATCTTTAGTTTCTTTAGTTGCTTACTCTTTTTTTCTTTTTCTTTTTTTAACAAAAGAAATGGACTAGGGGGGAAGGAAGATAAACTTTTCAGGTTGTAAATTCCAGTGCATAGATGGGAATCTTTTTTGGGAAAACTTCAGAGGTGGAGGATCTGGCTGGCAGTCTTTCACCTGAAGGAATCTTTTCTTGCTTTTTTCTACTTCCTTGACACGGTAGAGGCAAGCTTGAATGGAAGGACTTGCCACACTTTATACAGATGAACTGTGGGAGACAGAGACACTAGAGTGAAGGGGCTAGAGTGAGGGCGGTGACCTCTGACAGTCATCGGTTGAAGCAATAGGAGGAGAGAAACTTGTATTATGGAGGTGGACAATGTAGTTTTGCTTTCTATTTCTTGTTGTGTGCAAAGTACATGAACAGGTACTCCAGGTAACCTGCCATTCAAGTTGTTCACATACCACATAAACTTAAAATGAGTCAGGACCGTGTTTGTGAGTGAACGTGTGTGTAGCTGCTGATTTTGTTGAGCTCTGTTCTGCATACCCAAAGCACACCTGCAAGATTAACAATTTCTCAAGCAAAAGCTATTCCACCTACTTTTTAAACACTTGACTGACATAAGAGGTTAGTGTCCAGCTACTTTGAGAATTTCTGAGCGTGTTTATGTAGCCATACTACAGATACTTAGATTTTGGGTCTAAGTGGTGATTAAGCAGGAAAGGTTCTTTGGATTTAGGTAGCTGAAGTCCAAGTCCTGTTTTAAGTGTGAGTAACTCCTCATTTGACTGTGGTTTCTAAACTGTTTTTTGCAGTAACTAGTCCTTTAATATTTTTAGTATGTAAAGGAATGATTCATAAGTGTAATGAAACATACTGATTTAGATTAAAGGCGCTGCAGTTTGACTAATGTCCTGTCTCTGGCTGTGGTTAATACTAGTCATTTCAAGGAAAAAAAAAAAAACAGGTTGCCTGCAGGTCAGTTTTAACCCTTGTGTATTCTCTAGCTTCAGACAATTAGCAGTTGAGGGTCTTGTACTGGCAACATCTGGACATGTCTTGATAGTGATGTCCTTGAAGTTTTGTACTTTCTGTGCCAGTTTATGCTTCTGAGTTGCGTGACATTGTCACATTGTGTTCCACAGCTTACGCTGTCCAAGGGAGACAGGACATCTGGTTTCTCATGCAGTAGGTAAAGGGATATTGTTACCAAAGTATCGTATCAATAACTCTCTAAGACCAATGGGTAGGTATTAGCAAGCAAGGCATTCTTTATTGCAGCGCTGGGTGCACGCGCGAGTCATTTCGCAAAGGCGAGCGCGCTTTTTGGTCGCACGGTTACAGTCTTTGTAGACCTTCCTCATTACACATTCATTACCTTTCCCCAAAAAGGCGGTGGTTTTCCAATGATTTCCCAGAAATGTTTTACATAAGTTCCTTCCCCCTTGCGCATGCTCTATCAAGCAGAACTAAAGGGGTCGGTGGTCTTTCGAGGATCTCTAGTGGTTGTCCGTAGCCTTCCTCACAATGTCCTCTAGTTGAATCCTCATTCTTGACCACAAGCCAGGGCCCTTTTCTGATGCAGCTTCTTGTTTGTTCTGCGATGGTAACAATCAGTTGTGTAGAGGTTTGCTAGGCATCTCCTTGGCATCCCCTTAACATCTGGCATGTGCAGATAGCTTTGTCTCCTTAATGACTCCTTTAATCTGGACCTTTTTCTCATTTATGTCTATCTGGTAGCTTTGAGGGAGCTCCTGCTGTTCCTGGGTTCCTGCAGTTTCAGTACATTCCTCTTTCATCAGCAAACAGGCTATGCAGAGTTTCAGGAGCCAAAGTTTCACATAGTTTCACAACCCCTAATTCAAATGTTAGCAAAACCAAAATTCACACAAAAGTAGAAAACTTGACTTTATCACTATGAGAAGAGATGCAGACAAACCCAGTGAAGTAACGTTGATCTAGTTTTGCAGTAGGTTAGGTGGCAGAATGTTTAATAACATTTTTACTTACAAGTTGATTCTTCTACAGACTCATGGCTTTGATCTCCATGTTTGCATTGTGTCTTTTGACGTGTAGTTATTTGATAGTGAATTATTTTGTTGGGCAGTAGTGAACTATTCCTCTCTAGAATCTTTTTTATTTACTTTTTTTTTTGAAGATCAAAAATAGAGCCTTAACCCTTAGTGTTTTCCCTTACCCATTTCTGTCTGACTTTGAAACAAGCCTGTGCTGCACGTTAATTTTGGGTGGCCTAGATAGAACACTTACTCTCCTTAGTACGGTACTTCTTCGCTTTTTCTTCATGTTTGCTTCTTCATCTAATCAGCCACTCACTGGTTGCCTCTATCTGTTTTCACTTTCTTTTTGCTGCAATTTCATATTGCTGCATATTGTACTTACGGTCTTTGTAGTGTTCCCTTTTTAGTATTTTTCTTAAGCTGAATTCCTTTTAAAGTCTAGAGGAATACTTGTCTGAAAAAGACTTGGTTTGTTCTTACTTGCAGTACAGGTAAGTACTGAATTTGTTTTCGCTTATAACCTGTGGCTGGATTGTGGCTTTAGCTTTGAAGACCCGTCGCCTACAGAACCTGCTGTCTCCCATTGAGCTTTTAATAGAGGTTAGACGGGAGGGACACAAAGTAATACCTTACGGCACAAGATAATGAAGTTTTTCTGGCCACGTGATGTTCTGTGAATCCTACTGTCAACTGCGTAAGCCTAGTCAAGGTTTTCCAAGTCACAATAAAATGGAATTTTACAGATTTTTTTTTTTTAATGTGCAAATATGTTTGATAAAAATCTCTTAAAGAAGTGCAGTTGTTAGTTGTTATTATAATGGAAATTATATGTTACAAAAATTGATTTTTTTTCTGTAGCATATTATGACAAGGAAAATCTTCTATACAGTGTCAGAAATTTGGTGAGGCACCAGTTGGACAAAATACCTTCTCAGAAGATGACAGAGAAGGTGGTGATATGGAGCGTTAGGAGCATTAGTGAATGTGTTCTTTATTGCTGCAGAATAGATACGGGTGTATCTTCGAACTCTGTGGTCTAATATCTTAAATGACAGACATAAAACCAATACAGGAATAGCTGATGAAGCTTAAAACATGAAGATTTTTCTAATTTTCTTTTAACTTGCTGGTGAACACAATGCCTCTTGCAGGATACTGTAACAGAATCTTAACTCCAGTGTGTAGACCCCAGAGATACTAGAGAAATATTGTAAAGGCTGAAAGAAATGCCTCTTGGTTGGGGGAGAGAGGTGGATGCTTGTTCTGTTTTTTTCAGGGTTTGTTTTTTTTTTCCCTTCAGTATATTTCTTACAGACCAAAATGCTTGTTCTTTATGCCCACATGCTGAATGTTCTGTTCAAGATATGTGAAATGGTTCACCTAAATAGAACAGGAAGCTGTAATAGTGGGGGAGGAAAGAGGGACAGCTTTGTGTTCACCTTACTAAAGTATATACTGTATAATGGACTATGTCATTCTAATTTGGGACATTTGACGATGCTTTTGTGTCATTCTTCTTTCCTAAGTATGCTAACACCTATTAATCAACTTTAAAACAACATTTTTGTCATATTTGCATTGCTGTCTTTAAGTTTTGTGTTTGTTCTTTCTATACTTAGGGATAGACCCCAAGTTAAACATCCTTGAAATTGTGAAGCCTGTGGAGACTGTGGAGGTAGTGATTGATCCAGATGCTCATCACGCAGAGGCTGAAGCTCACCTGGTTGAGGAAGCTCAAGTGATAACCTTGGATGGAACAAAACATATTACAACGATTTCAGATGAAACCTCTGAGCAGGTGACACGATGGGCTGCAGCGTTGGAAGGCTACCGAAAGGAGCAGGAGCGCCTTGGAATACCCTATGGTAATAACGCTCGACTGCGTGTGTGTGCGCACGTGTGTTCAGGCAGGGGCTGGGTTCTGTTGTTCGTTTCGGGGATTGGTGTTTTTTCATAAATGATAAATTAATTTTGGTTATATAATTAAAGTACTGCAGTACCTCAGAAAAGGCTTCTTGTGATATGGGTAAGTACAGTGCAAATATCTGCATAAGAGAAAGCTAAAGAGAAGTAGATTCAAGGCTTGTAAAGATTTTATTAAAATAGTGCTTTTTGCTCCATAACCTTCTTGTCATTGCAGTTTTTAGAAAGCTGTTTTCTTCTTCCTTCCCTCCTTAAAAATGTGTATGTTAGTGATAAAGCTCTTTTTCATATATGTCTGAATTTGAAGTAGACTTTACTTGGTGGGGGTTGCCTCTGAAGACACTGAAACATCATAGGTTGTAGGATGCCGAGTGTAGTGTTAAATCAGATTTCAGCAAGCCATACTTCAACATACTGAAAAAAGAGGATTCAGAACTGAATGCAAGTATTCTGATAGATCATCATCTCTTTTGAATTAATCTTGTTACTTAGCAGGCTGCTAATTTAATGTTAGCTTAGAAAAAGCATCTGTGAATGCCTGCTTAGGATTGAACTGGAACTGGGGGTTTTAGACCCGCATCACGTTCAGGAGATTATCCAGCTGAGTTGCTTGTAGCGACTTGCAGAAGGGTACTGTCAAGGCATATTCAGTGCACATGAAGCTGTAGTATCTAAGCAGACCTGCAAAACTGGGATATATTTGGCAAGTGGGATATTTGGAAGTGTTTAAGAATTCCAGTGAAGTCACGGGTCTTTGCAGGACACGTAGCTTGCCAATATTTTGAATGTATTTTTGATAACTAAAGCAATAGCTTTTTCTTGCCTTTTTATTGTTCTCATTGACAAGCACTTCCAAAATAGTTTTTATCATGCTATGTCTGTTGGTAATCAGGGATTTGACACAGAACATCTGGGGAAAAAAATGTGAGGCGTTGTCAGGAGCAGACTGATATTTTTCAGCATGCTCTCCCACTAATGTAAGAAGATTACTTAAAACCGTGTCGTTGTGTTGAATAATGTTGTCAATAGACTTTTTAATAACGTTGCTGCTTTAAGAAAACCCTGTAACCCACAACTGTGACTTTAAAAGTTTAGTGTCTTTTGTGTCATGGGAGTGCAGATTTTCCAGGTAAATCATACTAGTTCATTGTGGCAGAGAGCTCTCTATTAATAATAGTGTTCTCCTGATATCAGCAAAATGTGCTAAACTGCCTTCCTTGAATGAGTAAAATTTTAAATGTTATCTGAGTTGACGTTGCAGGGACTTGAGTTGAAATAAGGCACCACTAAGTTCTGCATTGTGATACGGTCAAGTTTCTGAGAATAAATAATATTCTTAAGGTTCTTACGTAGTCCCCCCAAAAAGCCTTTCTTTTTAACATTTGGAAAGGTACATCTTAAAAAATAGAGAGAGTCCAGTTTCCTTCAAATAGTTACGAGACTTGGTTCTGTGAAGTTATTGGAAGTTACTCATCTGAAATGATTCCTTGAATCTTTTCAAAAGACAGGATATGTGAATATTGAAAGTAAAGTCCAGTCAGTAAATAATCATCACTCAGAAAGGTAGTCATATAGTAGCTTCATCCTTACAGGTTTCTCTAATTTGCTGCAAATGGAAAATTAGCTTTTAGCAGGTCTTTAAAATGTTGTGACTTTCTCTTTATGTTATGTTTTGGTGAATTTTACTAGAGATAACAAATTCTTAGCTTTAAAAGCTGTTTCTGCTAATACAACCCAAAAAACTGATACCATTGCAAAGGTCCCTAGGAAGAAGGAAAATGCGAATTGGTATGAGAAATACAATACAACCCAAAAAACTGATACCATTGCAAAAGGTCCCTAGGAAGAAGGAAAATGCAAATTGGTATGAGAAATAAAGCCAGAAAAAGGAGCAGCAGAAAGCTTGGAAACCATGGATCTAGTTAGAGAAAGTAATGATTCATGTTACCTTGCAGATTATGTTCTGTCAGTGAGAATAAATTAGCAGCATTTTGATGAAAATTCACTGCTGATAACCTTTTGAAGACCAGAACCCTTTTGGTGTGGCTTTTCCCAAAGGGTTATGTTGCATGGGTTTAGGTAGCATCAGTGAAAAGTGATGCAATGTTACCGCCCTTTATTAAGCAAAGTGGACTTTGTGGCTCTTCAATAATGTTTTGTAGGCCTACGAAGCTTTGCTTTCTTTAATTCTTAAAATAAAAACTTGTCAAGGTGACATCTGTTTGGGATATCGTGATTTAAAAATATGTAGTTGTTCTGCTCCTGTTTTTTGCACTTGAGACAGTGAAGGTAAATATCCCTGCTTTAATTTCCATTTCCAGTTTGTGCTCACTGACACGTGTTAATATATTGCATACAATCTTAACAAAGATGGTGCTTAGACTTACCCATGCTCTTTCTAGCTTGTTCACACTAGTACTGCTTGAAACAACAGACTTTTTCTGTTAAAATGCCTTGGGTCAACAAATCATGTATTGCACATGTCTTGAGTTGATTTTTTTATTACCATTTCTATATGTTCCTTTGCCCTGTGAGTTGTCTGTACTATTGTGTAGTTGGTGCTGGCAGTTAAGTGATGTGCATGTTGTTATGTTCTGTGGAAATGTCAAACAGGTGCCCCAAAGCTTGATGCCGTGGCTTGTTTGATTCAAATAGGGGCGTGTGTTGGGTCTTATTGTATCAAATCTTGGTTTAATGCTTCGGTTAGTGTAGTCTTTCTAGATGAGGTGTATTACACTTCCTGGTTTTTATTTTTATCTGTGTATATAGTGCATGTTTATTAGCCCACCCGTGTGGTGGGCTGACCCCAGCTGGCAGGTGAGCCTCCACCCAGTCACTTGCTCACTGCTTCAGAGGCATGGGGGAAAGAATCAAAAAGGGCCAAAGTGAGTTAAAAAAACCCCCATGGGTCAAGATAAAGACAATTCGATAAGCTGTCCTGGCTGCGTCACCTCCCAGTTTCTTGTGCACCTCCAGCCTACTTGCTGAGGTGAGTGAGAAACAGAGAAGATGCTGTGTCAGGACTCCAAAGTTCTCTGACCAGGTTCTTTTAGATATTCCATGCGTGGAATGTGTAATGCTTAGTATCAAATATGCTTGAAGATGGTTGGCATTACATGGGATTTCTGATTTAGCAGGGTGATAAAAGTTACACTAAAAATGCAGTACAAAGGTAAGTTAATTGCAGCACACTGTGCAGTCGCAATACCGGTGTGATTCCCACTGCTGGTCTCTACATAATATTACATAATATGCTCACCGGCATGATGTTAGGTGTCCCCAGTTGCTGGGAAAGAATATGTGGGTTGAAACCAGCCCAAGCCCGTTGCTCTCCGAAATTCTTTTGCTGGTTGTCTAGTTCGTGCAGTTTGTGTTGGGCTGAGCCACGTATTCACTCCCCCCATACTGGTCTGGCTGACTCAGGGAGATGTTTACACCACCATTGATCCACTCAGCTGTTGATAGCTGTTTATCTAAAAGAAAGGCCACCTTTTGGTTGAGATGAAGTCAGCTTCTTTGCATTATTCTCTGAGCTGTGTGGGCGCTTCACCCTTGCCCATCTCCTCTGAGCCATCTTCTGCTGTGGGGGAGTTGCATTCTAGCCCTTGGGCCTTAGTCAGTCACACCTTGACTCTGTGCAAGCACTGCTCAGCGGTAGCTGAAACAGCAGAGTGTTACCTACACTGTTTTGGTCACCAGCCTAAAACATGGGACCGTATGGGCTGCTGTAAAGAAAATTAACTCCATCCCAGCCACACCCAGTGCAATGGTGATTTAAAATAGTTTAGAAACTGGGATAATGTGAATGAGTTTAGATTGTAGTATTTCATCGTAATCACGTGCTGCTCAACGTATTTGAGGGAGAGCATCCTGGTGTTAGAGAGACTACTCTCTTTTGAAAGTAAAGACCTATGCAAAAAGAAAAATAATTATTTTCTGTGTTTGAGAATTGTCAGGTGTAGTTCAGATGTAAAAGCTAAAGAAAATCCCTTTGTTGCCCTTTCCATCTCCCCGCCAAACAACACCGCTCCATCGGCATTTTCAGAGGAGTCAACTTTCCATCCAGTCAGATTTGGCCATGATAACTACACTTCTTGATGTTGTGTATTTTCTTTTATGGGAGTTATTATATAATTGAAAACGTACCATTGTTGGACTTCAACTGAGTAGCAGCACTGACTGGCCTAGAAGCAGACCCTTTAAAAAAAAAAAAAAAGATATCAAGAACTCCTTAAATAAAATTTTTTAAAAGGCCTTCAGAAAAGGTCATACAAAAAAAAAAAAAATTCCATTTAGACTTGTGTGAGCGCTGTGGGTCAGTAGCCCCTTGTGTTTCATTCTTGTTGCCTGTTACAGGGAGGACTAGCTCTGACTATACTGTGTGCAGTGTGCAGAGGGGTGACTTGCAGTTTTGTCTCTCTTTTCCCAGACCCAGTGCAGTGGTCGACAGACCAGGTGCTCCACTGGGTGGTGTGGGTGATGAAGGAGTTCAGCATGACTGACATCGACCTCAACGCGCTCGGCATTCGGCATTCCCGGGCGGGAGCTCTGCAGCCTCAGCCAAGAAGACTTCTTCCAGCGCGTCCCACGGGGAGAGATCCTCTGGAGCCATTTGGAGCTTCTTCGAAAGTGTATGGGAGATTTTTTGTAATTGCTTTTACTTATTCCTCCCTCTCCCCCTTCTCTTTTTTTTTTTTTTTTTTTTTTGTTTGTTTCTTTCTTTAATGATGAAACCTGTTGTGAGCAGTTGTTTTTCCTCTACTTAGTATTGGCAGTGCAAATGAGGGCATCAATATGAGATAACAGGAGGTATTAGTGGGAATGTCTGCTGTTATGAAACTTGTCTGCATATAAACACTGTTTGCCCGTCGTTCATCAAACTTCATAACTAATAGGGAGGAAGTAGTGACTGATGATTCCTGCTTTGTTTTTAATAAAGATTCTTAGTTTGTGCATCTTCTGAATTTGATAGTTTTATAATTAAATATTGATTGTGAGTTATTTAATGTACTTCATAATGTACTGTCATATAGAAGTGAAGATTATTAAGCATAGGCAACGAACTCCTTAGATTGTACACCACACAACTGACAAGTGATGTGTTCTGTGTGCATAATACCATCATGTATATGTGCATTTCAGATTTACCATGCTTGGATGTAACTTGGCAGACTTAAAGCTATTTCCATCTTCATTTACATGATATAGCTAAAGGTTTCAGGGGATGGAGAATGCATAAGATACCTTGAAATTCACCGCCTACATCCTTACTTCTAAAAGTTGAAGTGTCTGTACTCATAAGACCATGAGCTATGCGTGTCTCTTGCAAACTGATACCAAATTTTGACATTTTTCTCTGTGAAATATGGAAGTTTTTGATCTTCAGGTGACTTGAAATCTCTGGGTTAAATAAAAGCTTACTATTGTGGTTTTTTTTCTAATTTGCAGATGTGTTGGCTAGCCAAGAACACTCTGGAGAAATAGCAACTGTTACTATTGATCAGCGTAAGTACTTCTGCCAGCAGTTAATTTGCACAGTTGACTGTTTGCACTGTACTTTGGTTCAGCACTATGATGGTACAACATTTAGAAATTCACTCAAGAGAGCAGTTTTCCTTGGTGAGGGGAGGAGGGTGTATTTTAAACTTCAAAACAAAGTGTTTGGTTTCTCAATATTTTGTTACTGGCTGAAGAGTGGTGTGTGACCTGAACTATGAAAGTTTCTAACTTTCGTTTTGGATGGTAGGTTTTCTGCTCTCTGGAAATAAGGTGTCTAGGATGCATGTTTGAGGTCTTCGGTTGGTCTGATTTTTTAGGTTATGCAGTGCATTAATGAAAAGGTATATTAAAATGTTATTATTTCAAAAGAAAGCATTTCCAGAAACCGAAAGGAAGTGTGGAACAGAGCACTTGCTTAGAAACCAATTCTAGAAAAAAATATATTAAAGAGATTTTCCAGTTATATGAAACTCATTCTTCCAACTGAGTCAGTGTCATCAATTATTAAAATGAATTAATTTTCAGAAGACTTGTAAGCAGCTTATGTGTTAATGCAATACACAGTCTATCTATTTATCCTGGGTTTGTGTCTAGTTAAAGCCATCTGGAGTGGGGCATTGCAATAGAAGGGTATTTAATTGCTGTTTGAATAGCAGGTAGGGAGGGTTGTTCAGTGACTGTAGAGGAAAGTGCATTAGGGTAGATCATAGGAGAGCAGCATAAAGATGAAAACAAAGGTGTGAGAGGGTGTTGGGTTTTTTTGTGGAAACATGTAATACACATGATAATAACCTAAAGCTGATGTTTTAACTGTAATGCGGCATGCCTACTACGAGTCTAAAAACCACATTTTCCACTGTAAGAGGTAAAAAGTCTTTAAATTATTCTTAGCATTGTGACTTGTACGGTGTGTCTCTTTAGCAAAGGAAAAAACTAACTCCAGGGTGTTATGATAATACAGGTAATAAATAATATATGCCTGTTTCTGTGCCAGCCATTTATAATTGATGTTCTGCCATGTTTTCTGCTTTACAGCTGTGCAGATTATTCCAGCATCTGTACAGCCTGCTACCCCAACCACCATTAAAGTAATAAACAGCAGTGCAAAGGCAGCTAAAGTACAGAGAGCTCCAAGGATCTCTGGGGAAGATAGAAGCTCCCCTGGGAACCGAACAGGTACTGTCTCCATTATTTTCAAATGCAGGCACGGTAAACACTTATTAGTTTGGATTACAGTTTTGTAGAACGCATCTTTGTCACTCTAAGTGTGAGGTTTGCGGAAGTCCACGTGGTACGGAGGGGACTGTAGCTGCAAAGTGTGTCACGAGCACGTGCAGGCCTGGCAGGTTGGTTGGCTCACGCAGGCACTATGTTAACGTGGTGCTGCAGCTTTTGAGTCCTGCAGTAAATAAAACATATTAAATTGTTTCTGTCACTTAACGGTCTGCCCTCTCAAACCACTGCGTAGCATTTATTCAAGCTTTTAACTTCTTTCCACCTTCCATTTGCAGAAAGGGGAGAAAATAAACTGTCTGTTGTAGAATCCTGGCCTGACTAATACTTGCTCTGCTTGTCCCCTCCACCCGCCCCCTGTGGTTTTGTGACTTCAGAATTTATCAAGTTTCAGATTTCTTGTTTTGTTAAATGAATGCATCTTCTGGAAAACCGCACGCTGAATCTTCAGGTTATTTTTGGAATTACTGTTATTCCTACATACTCTTTGATAATTAATAGCTCATCTAAGTGTCTTTATCTTATTTTTTCTTGCTGTCATTTTTGCTTTGATTGTCTCCACTATTGTGATTTTTTTCTGTTAAATTCTTTCCTCTTCTTCCCCTTGAATCTTTGTTTTAAGCTCTCCACAAAGGTCTATAATGATGTCATTCAGGATTCCTAGGCCAAGATTTTATCAGCTGACATCAGTGGGGGATACTCTGTGTTTCTCCCTTTAGACATTAGGTCTGCTGTCTGTATCTCACTGAGAAATTACAAATGTAAATGCAGATACTTGAGTTAAAAAGAAATCTTAATGATTGGACATGAAAGATGTCAGATTGGCCTAAGCTGAAGTTTGGGTGTTTATTTTGTATTTCTAACATTCCATGTTAAAAACTGGGGACTAAGCTTTTTTTTTTAAAACAAAAACAAAAACAAACAAAAAACAAAACAAAACAAACAGCTTCTCTGATACATGTGTATGTGTGAGTGTGTATGCCTGAAGAGGAATAAGCAGCTCTTGCTAAATCTGTTCTATTTTAGGGATAGATGTGTGTCTAAACGACTATGTGTAACGTTATGTAATTTTTTTTTTTCCTTAAGTTTATGAGAACTCTTTGATTTTTTTTTTTTTTTTTTTCTGTATTCATCAGTTTCCTTGTAATAGATTAATACTGAACGCTTTGCAGGAAAACATGTACAAAAGAATAATTAGAAGAAATTAATTAATTTTCCTTCCATCATATATTCTTTGTTGGTCTGCTTTAATATAGTGGTTGAAAATTTTTTGCTGCGAGGAAACCATAGACAGGGCTAACTGAAGTGGATCTTGTTATTCCTATTTCAACAGGAAACAACGGCCAGATCCAGCTGTGGCAGTTTTTATTAGAACTTCTCACTGACAAAGATGCTCGGGACTGTATTTCTTGGGTTGGTGATGAAGGAGAGTTTAAATTGAATCAGCCTGAACTGGTTGCGCAAAAATGGGGACAGCGCAAAAACAAACCCACGATGAACTACGAGAAGCTTAGTCGGGCTTTGAGGTAAGAAACTTTAGGAACTGATGAGATATGAAGCGATTTGCTTCCACTTGGCTACTTTATTTTTAACTATCGTAATGCAAGACTTGCTGCTTTTTTTAGTAAAGGGATAAACAGATCCTCTGAAGCTACTCCTTCCTGTCCTAGGGGCAAGGTATTTGTTGGAGTTTTTTTTTAAAGAAACTAGTACCATAACTTCTTGAAAGCTTATCATCTTTTTTCAAGATTATTGAACGCTGACATGGTAGTTAGTTTGGGTAGCTCACTTTGGAATTGTTTCTTTTTGATGCATCTTCAGCATTTATTCTCTCATTAGTGTGCCAGACAATATTGATTATTGGTGAAAGATACAGAAATATGTGAATACTCTGAATTAGTGTGCTTTTTGTGTTTTACAGTTTACTTGTTCATGTTCCTCTTGCTCTTGTTACGGTATAAAGTGGATACTGCCCTGCAGTTATGTAATCATTAGTAATTTTCTGTATGTAACAGTTTTTCCCTGTATGTAACAAAACTTAGTTTCTAAGTTCAGCTGTTCATTGATCCATTCCATTGTTCTTATGTTAGGGGAGTTAAACTGAAAAATACAGTTGACAGGTAAGTTTCAGCAGTTGTTGTGATTGCAACTTGGTGAACTTCTATCATCTGAAGAAATGGAAGCGTTTCAGGCTGTCTTCATTCCATAGTGGTTTTGTAGTTTGATGATGGTAAAAGGGACTTGTGTTACCAGATCGCTGTAGGTGATGTGCTTGAGGAGGGGGAACGATGCAATTATCTGAATTTATGACTTCTATTCCCTGATTATTTGGGCCTCTGGAATAATTTGAAGATTCATCCAAATTCTCTGAAATCGTTAGGATTGAACTTTTAATTTCTTATTCTGGTATGGTTAAATCTATTTCTCTTGGTTGGTTTTCAAGAACAGTATTTAATGCCTAATCCTGCAAATTATCTAAGCAGTTTTAGGAACTCTTTTTATATGAGTGAAGTTGCAAGTTGGTTGAAGTCTGGTTTACTTTTCAGCATTTCCACTTTTGGCTACATTATTTTTCTAAAAGGACGTAAACACACCTAGCATTGTTGTAAGAAAAGAAAAATCAACTTCTATTTAAAAATACCTCTATGAGAAATTATGGTGAAGTTACTATATTCTGGCTTTCTTTAGTCTTTTAGGGATTCAGCGTAATGCTGAATGAGTTCTTTCGTTAGGGGAGCTCGAAGTCTAGAAGACCGTGAATGGCACGGAGTCAGTAAAGAAGGGCTGCTCGGTATCTCGTGTACACAGACAGGAGGCATCCAAAGAAACTGGCAGGCACCAGACAGGCAGCTTAACTGTACCCTTTCGCTTGTCTTGTGACTTCTTTACGCACGGCATTGTGGATGCCAGAATTATTTTACGAGTTTGAGTGTAAAGTGCACGAATTGATGAAAAAACAATATTTTGAAGGGTATTAGGTACAGAAAGATGCAATTTCTAGAAGTTCCTGAGCCCCAGATCATTGAAAGCAAGGAGGAGTATTGATATATCCTGACTCTTTCATGCTGTTCTTTCGGCATCCTCTGTTGGATGTCTGTTGGAGTCTATATCCTCTTCTAGAGAGATCTTTAATCTGGTCTTGTATGGCTGTTCTTGCATTATTTATATATTAAATTAGAATGTTATTTTTTTCTTAGGATCACGGAATCCCTTGGGTGGGAAGGGCTTCAGGAGGTCTCTGACCCAACCTCTGGCCCAATGCAGGGCGTTGCCAGTAGAGCTGCTTCCCAGCCTGCACTGTTGCCATACCATTCCCATACTTCCAACCTGGTTTTGTGAATCTAGGCGTTTGTGTACTGAAGGTGTATGTGAAAACTTTCTGGAACGTAAAAACGATGACAATTTGGGGTTTGTCCCCAAGCTAGCAGAAGATCGCAAAAGCAGCTGAAGAACTTTTAGAATAACGTTCTTGTCACTGGGATATTAAACAGGTGTCTGCACAGTAATTTGCATAAATCACTATTGGAGAAGTTTTGCATTTGTATTTTAGTCACAGAATTGCAGAAATCACATTTCTCAATGTTGCCGTTTTGGCAGCTGCAGCAGTATTGACGTGTTTTCTAACACTTGAATGTCTGAAGGGATGTTTAATGCCTCTTGCTACTCCCATGGTAAACACTGTTGCCGAGCTAAAGTTTTATTAACTGGTGATATGTTTTGTTTACTGATGTACTGAAGTTACTGTGTCAATTGCTGATTAACACGGAAAATGATGTTGGTATTATTGAGAAACGCGCTAGCTCTTCTGCCCAGCAGTAGGAAAACCAGGCAGTACAGAAACCAGGGCAGAGTGAAAAACAGAGGAGTGCCTTTTATTTGTTACGTACACGTTGATAAATTTTCTAAAATCATCATCTGTTTAGTTACCCAGTAGGGAAGTGAGACTTGAAAAATAGTTCAGCTCCTGTATTATTCTGAAACACAGTTTTCATGTGACTCAGAACATTCCGGTAACTAAGGCTCTGTAAACTTGCATGGGTATTTATTTTTGTTTATTTTTAGCTTTCTGTATTTTTGAATAAGCAAATCCTGTAATCAGAAATGCATTCAACATAATACTGAAAAAATGCGCTCGCCCCATTGCCTCAATTCTAACTAATTCTAACTCTATTCTAAAGCGTAACGATGCAGGGAAGACAACGGGAGTTGAGGGAGGCGCAGGTGTAGTTTTGGGGGCTGGAGCGAGAAGGACTGAGGAGGAAGCTGTTCTGGAGAAAGGCAAAGGAGAGCTTCGGCAAAGACCAGACTTCCTTCACCCACAGAGCAACCGCAAGCTCTTCGGACAGTCCTTGTGCTCTGTAACAGACCTCTGTGGCTTTTTGCACGATACCAGTAACCAGCAGGCTTGCCAGCATTTTTTTCTACGTAGTTTATCTCTCATCCTGTCTTTGCTTTTGTCCTGTTGCTTAGGTCCTGGCCCTCAAAGGTAAGAAATGAAAAGGCCTTTTTTTTTTTTTTTTTTTTTTTCAAAATTTGAGGTGCCTGAAAAAATTTGGCTAGATTCTTAGTAACTGACCTCTTTTCCACTAGAGCTGGGAGACAGAATTGACTTAATTTTGCTGTTGAACGAGAATCATTGTTGCTTTATAAGCGCATCTCTCACAGCAATGAGTTTTAGACAGTCAAGAAATCTGGGCTCATTTGTACTACTTCTGGGTGATGGTTTTGAGGAAATTAAATTGTGTAATTTTGATTGGTTGGTTTTGATTTTGTTTTTTTCCAAATTTATGACAAGCTTGTTATGTTCATCAAGTCCAAGTTATATCCCCGCCACTCAGGTTTTCTTCATGAGAAACGTGACATGTCTTCTATTAGTGCCTGCAGTGAGACAAGAACAGCAACAGAACTGTAAAATTCTAAGTTCTGTTTTATTGGTATCACCTGAAGTTTTATAATGTCTCCGGAGTACAGTGGGTCATGCAGACTTTGTTATCTGTACTGCATTGCTGCCCAGTCTGATGATTCTTTTGTGACACAGTGTGAAAAGTATTCAGAGTTATAGAAGTCTCTTTTAGTTGTAAATAAAGGCAAAAGGATGTACTTTTGCCAGCGTATGAGCTATAAAACAAACAAACTTGCTTTTAGAGTTTTACTTCTATCTTTGAAAACAAGAGGGAGAGAATGGCTGCTTTAGTATCGTAGAAACTACAGGGCTAACTTTCAAACTTTCCAACGTGATTTTTTTTTTTTTTTTTCCCCCTCAGAAAAGCAGAGACAAGAGTAAAAAAAGCAGGGGACAGTAATGGGAGGGGAGACAGCATTTGCTTATTAAGGCAGTATCTATTAAGCACTGTATGAAACTGACATGTATTCCCCCCCCCCCGACCTAGCTGTTTTTAGAGACCTTCATTTCTGAACTGGTGCTTCCAGCTGTTTTGTTTCTCCTTAACATATCAAGACACAAGGACAATTTTCAACCCTCTTCCCTTTTCTCATATGACAGAAATCCTAAACAGTATCTTAGTATGTGAAGTTATATGAGAATCTTGATGAGAAAAAGATTCGTATTTTGGCCTCCAAGTGACTTTAAGTAAAAACCGATGCGTGTGGAAGTTACAGATGCTCAGCTTTTACGACTGTTTTTCTTTTTTTTTTCTTTTTTTTTTTTTATAGATACTACTATGATGGAGACATGATTTGCAAAGTGCAAGGCAAGAGGTTTGTGTACAAGTTTGTCTGCGACTTGAAAACTCTCATTGGATACAGCGCAGCAGAGCTGAATCGGTTGGTCACGGAATGTGAGCAGAAGAAGCTGGCCAAGATACAGCTCCATGGCATTGCCCAGCCAGTTACAGCAGTGGCGCTAGCTACTGCATCCCTGCAAACAGAGAAAGATAACTGAGCTCTAGGACCTGAAAGCGGGAGCCTGAGGCCTTTCCTATATATCCAGAGCAGTTGCTGCTCTTACCTTTATCAGAATTGGAAACTTCTTTTGTTTCTTGACAGTACAGTATAGAGCATGATTTTCTATAAAGAACTGGGACTGGCATAAATTTGGATCTTTTAGCAGCATTTATTTCAATATAAGTTAAGGGATAGCCACAATTTCTGCAACTTTGAGTCAGGGCCTCCGTGGTATGCAGTTTGAAATAGGTGAGAAAGGTTGAACTGGTCAGCGCTCGGGTGTCCACAGCTGCACAGGTAACTTTTGCAGCGCTTTTGACAACAATGAAGTACCTACAGCAAGCGGGGATGGCTGATCAGTTGTCTGAACTCAGTCCTTTCCAGTCGTTTGTTCTCTGCTGAACCACCAAACGGCGGTCGATGCTTTCCAAGTTAAACATGTTCGTTACTCTCATTTAATGGAGCAGAGCTGAAAGACACATTAAATATTACAAAGCATCAGGTTCTTAAAATAGCTTCTGTGTTGATAAGCAAAGGAAACTAGGACTAGACCGAACTGAAGATCAGTGCTGAAGAAGGAGATCCAGGTTTAGATCTGGCTTGGGTGAAAAGCCAGTTATGAGAGTTTCACTGTAACATGTACATAATATGCATATGTGAGGGCAAGTGCTTACCTGTTTTGAAAGACATTGCTAACGCTAGCCATTTAGCAAAAAAGAGAAGACAAGGCTTCTTCCCCCACAACCACCCCCCATCAGGTGATTGGAAAACTTGAAAAAACAGCCCTCGCCCAAAGAGTAGTTTGTTTTGGTGGGGGGGTTTAATGCTCTGATCTGCACGGTAGCCAACCTTCCTAACTGAAGACTTAAGTTAATCACAGTCAGCAGTCTCCGTTTAGAAATGAAATGCAAGCTGAAAATAGTCTTGCAGAGAATGAAAGTTTGATTTCCAAATTATTGTACAGTCTGACATATATTAAAATACAAAGATGTATTTTTTATTTAAAATTAATTTCATTCTGAACTTCGAGTGACGTTTTTGAAGCTTCATAAGCTACGTGCATGCTCCAGAGCTGGGTGCGATTTGCAGCCTGGATGATGACTAGAAATAACTCGGAACGTATCCTGAACTCTGGGCTACGGGGAGTACTTCATGCAAACGTACACATGCAGTGAAAAGTAGGTTGCAACTTTTGAGCTTCTGCCTATCAGACTATTTCTTTTGACGGCTGAGGAGGGTGCAATTTGGGGGTTTACTTTTGCCCCTTCATGTTATTAAACAGCATAAATAATTATGTCACCATGCATCTCTTCCAGCTCTCTGTAGGTGCAACCCCCTCTGGTAACACTTAACAATGAAAATGCAAGAGGGAAAGCTTTACTTCTGGGAGGGATCGAGCTACTCTTAAATCAAAAGCGCTTGTACAGCGAGGTTTTGAACATAAAATGTGTTTGTACTGGGTAGCGAGAGCGCTGGTCTGTTGTTCTCGCTCAAAAAGGAGCGGTCATGCCTGCAGGCAGAGAGCACAGGAGACTCGTGGTAAGGTTGCACTGAGGACAGAGCTTTTTTTGTTTGCAGACGGATGTCCATCTGCAGATAGTTTTTGCTTAACAAGAAATCTTGCGTGTAGTTGCAGCCTGCTTTTTTTCGTCATCACCACAGTCATTAATTATTTTTTTTTTTGCCAGATTCTTTCAGTCACTCTTAGTACTGTTTTCATTCTTGAGCTCTTAAAGCACTCCCTCTGCTGAGCATGCTGGTTTAGTTTTGGTTTTTAAAAAAGTCTCAAGCCCTGAGCAAAAATATGTAAATGCGTCTGTCACGAGAGGTCAACCGTCGATCCGTTTATCGCTGTGACAGTAGTCTGAGGCCACCGGTTGGCAAACGGTTGAGGTAACTTACGCAAATAGATGCATGTTCGCTTACTAAGAGTAAGGTGAAGCCGGTAGTTCTTCAGTGGCAGCACCTACGTACGCAGCGGTGCCCCGTCGCTAAACAGAAGCCCAACTCAAGTCACTCGTTCTGTTTCAGAGAGTTTGTGAGAGGCCTTTTAAGTTGAAACACCGTATAAAAAGAGGAGAAGCTTGAAATAACAGCTTTCTGGATCGAACTGGGCTGTGGGAGGATAAACTAACAGCAAAATGGAAATGTAGTATCAGTACTTTAGTCCCCTGAATGTTCTCGTTACGTGGTAAGCCCTCCAGGGGAGGCCTCTGGTACCACACTTGCTCTGTAAATAGGTCCGGTGGTTATTTTGCAGCTTTTCAGTAGGCGTGATAGTCCTTTGGGTTCTTTGTTGTGGGGTCACCTGCTTTTCCGCCGTGTCCTAATTAGTAAAGAAGGAATAAAGGAGGAATCTTTCAATCGGTGTAAAATCACTGTCACATTCCCTGTAGTTGAGGGAGAAATCTGTGACTAACTTGATGTCTTCAGTAAAATAAAAGATGTAGAATATATTGTCAAAGGCTGTTCTGTTGCTGCCAGAAGGAAAACATAGAATATTCCCAATTTTTTGTAAAACGGAGGGTTTTTTGCATACTTTTTAAATAAAGACACTTCTACTCTGCTAATAATTATGTATTTCTTTTGGGTTTTTTTGCTTTTTTTTTGGTAATTTTACATGAAACAATTATTTTCTATTTTTACTCTGATAAAATATTTGTGCATAAAATGTCAATATAGTAAAATAAAAACGTTATACAGCTAATACCTGTTGACAATTCTTAATTTTTGAGAAAGACGTTTGTAGTGTCATCCAGACAGTTTAAAGACCAGTTTAAAGATGAATTACGCACACTTTATTCTCATTACTCTTCAGATCACAGGCTCGTTACAGGAGGAAGGCAGACATCTTATTTTCTGAAGACACGTCGTCTTTCCCTCAGTACTTGGCTATGTGTTTCTGCTTTTGAACCGGAACTTGGTGTCCTTCACTAATGTAGCAGCTTTCTTTAACATCTCAAGTGTAAATCTCAACATGGCGCTTTGATAAAGATAACGATGGAAGTTTTAACAGCAGGACAGAGTGGAGCCCTGTAAAATGGCGAGGTTTATGCTTCTAGCAGTGTTTTAATTGGAAAGGTTTGTGCTGGTCTGTGAACTTTGGCCTTTGTTTCATTCTTGCAAGTCGCCCCGCTTGCTTCACGTGGCCTGCTGACTCGATTGTTAGTACTGTCCTTGTTACAAAGAAGATAAAATTCTGATGAAACTGTTACTTACCTTATTTTTAAATCGTGTCTCAATAGAAATACTCTCGTTAAACCTCTAAACTCCTCCATCTGGACTGCCAAATTCAAGACTGAAATATTTTGTCATCTTTGAACCTACCGAATCACTTGATTTCAAAATGTTT